GGCTATCCTGGACCGACGCGAAGAACCTAGAAGACCTGGATTTCACGCGTGGATGATTTATGCTTGATGTGACACAAAATCGAAGACTTACAAGCGAAAACCGACAAACTGGTCGAAGAAGCAGGTAGTGGAGACAGGACTCCAGGCGAACATAGACAAGACGGAGGCTATGAAAATAACCAGCCAACCAACAACCACAACAACAGCAGCAACATCCAGAGTCAATCACTATCAACGAGAGGGCTTTGGAAGAGGTTACTTCATTCGCTTATCTAGCATTGAGCATTGTCTCAACTAGAGGACGTCGGAACGGACGAGAATGTCAAATCGAGAATAGAGGGGCAGGCAAGAAACACATTCATCAACCTGAAGCCATTCTGGAAATCTTCGTCACTCAGCCACCATCCACAACAAAATTCGCTCGGATTTTCAATACAAACTACGTCAAGTCAGTCAGCCCTTCTATACGGATCAGAAACTTGGCGGGTGGGGGGTCACAAAGAATATTTCCAACAGCCTGTTGCAGACCTTTATCAACCAACAACTGTCTTCGTTGGCTCTATACTGAAGATCAGATGGCCGAGCCGGAAAGAATCGCCAACTATAGGAAACTATGGGAACAAACAAACAAAACGAGAACCAATCGCCAACCAACAAATGTTCAGGAGAAAGTGGAGATGGATTGGACACTACCTCGTGAGGAGGCCGGGCCGCTGGGTGACATCGCGCGCGCGTCAGGCTATTTCTCGAGTAGAACCAGGCCGAAAGGGAAGCGGCGAGTGGGACGTCGGTGCAAGGGTGACATGGAGGAGATCGTGTGAAAAGGAGTTGAAACACTATGAACTAACTAACGTGAATGCAGGTGGAAAGTACAACAGAAAACAGAAGCAAGTGGAGGCATGCAGTTGAAGCCCTTTGTTCCACTAGGAGCCTTAGGGAACAATAATAATAATTCTTTCAGATAATTACTCTGAAATCATATGATTAGATCAAATCTATTGATTTTCTGAAGCTTTTCCTTCTTACTTTTAGTTACTTGAAAGTGGTTGACAGGAATTGGCTACATACATCAGATTTCAACTGATAATCAATCATTTATTATAAGATAAGCGCTAATATTTACTCATTTTTGTCCATATGTCATTTTTAAGGTTTGTTTTATACGTGAAATATCCTGTGACGCTACCTCTGTAAAAGATAAGCTCCCCGGTCTGGCCGCCTCCATGTGCATTTATATCAGTTCACCTGCTCCTCTTGTGGAGCAAGCTACATTAACCGCAGTCAGAGGACGCTTTCCACCGCATGGATAAGAGAACACATTCCAGCAGCATAGCTTTACAAAGAAGAAAGGGAGAAGTGTGTGCGAAGCTCTATTTTGGAACACGTGATCGACTTCTGTCACTCTGTCAACCTTGACCACGATTTTAAGAACATATATAGAATTCATGCTAACTTCACGCGTTAACTTTTTCGTTACAAACTTATAAAGACAGATGAGGCCTTGGACATTCATGAATTTAACCCAAGGGACCTTTGTGTACAAAAGAAGTATGTAAAATCCCTGATTCTACCTTGATCTTAGAGGGATAGACATTTATTTATTTTGTTTATTATTTGTTTGTTATTGTATGTACCTTTCCCTTATTACTGCGATTATGATTATTATTATTATTACTATTCTCACTCTGAATTGTTTCCACTTGTCATTCTAAACCCAAAGTTATTAATTTTTATAATTTTTTATTTTTACAATATTGAATTCTACCTTGTGAAATTTCACACCATGTTATGTAACATTGCATATTCGCCTACCAATCCTATAATTATGCACCCCTTTGCAACATCTATACACCTTATGTATTAATTATCTTGCCACCTGACATTCAACTATGACTATAATCACAAATATTTTAACTGCATTTCATACTGTAACAACAGAAGACAAGGGCGAAGCAACAGATCGTATATATTAATTAACTCTGCCATATTCTGTACTGCCGACAGCCTAACCGCTGCTATCTCGCTGGTCTCATACATGTTGATACGCCCGTATTTCGTGACCACAACTTTCGCTTGCGTGTCGACTATTGCACCAATCTCCCGCAGAAAATCCGCTCCTAATATCGTTCTCTGTAGTTCGGGTACAACAATGAAAGCAAACGTCACCTCGCAGCCGCCAACATCGACCGTACAGTTCGATCTACCCGTTATACGCAACACATGCCCGCCTACTGTTTGTACTGTCAATGAACACGGACTAACACTCTTACATAAAATCTTATCGATTAACGACACGGCCGCTCCTGTATCTATCAAACATACTACTTCTCGATCATTCACTTGCAACTTCGAATACAGAGCGCCTTTCTCAATAGCTCCCACGAAGTCTAGTTTCATACGAGAGACAGAACAAGTATTATACCGTCTGAAATTTTTTCTTTTCCGCCTTTCTGGGCAGTATCTTCTCCAGTGTCCCGGCTTCCCGCATTCAAAACATCGGTCTTTTCTATCAGCCAACTTTAACGCCGCCTGCTCCTTGACACCCACCAGCTCAGCAACAGCCTCGAAGTCACGTAAGAAGCTCCGTATGTCTCCTTCTTCAAACGCAGCTGGCCACGGGATCTTCATTTTCTGGAGGCAGCGACACCAAATGTAACAACAGAAGACAAGGGCGAAGCAACAGATCGTATTTATTAATTAACTCTGCCATATTCTGTACTGCCGACAGCCTAACCGCTGCTATCTCGCTGGTCTCATACATGTTGATACGCCCATATTTCGTGACCACAACTTTCGCTTGCGTGTCGATTATTGCAATACTATTACCATTATTATTTCATGTATTCACACCTTTGATCTGATTCCCTCACCGGATACAATTTCTTAAAAAAAAACCATATATTTATACGATTGTACAGTTTGATAATAAATTCGTTGAAAAAAGTCTCTTCGCTGAGTATTGTGCATATAACGATTTCTCCAGAGATTACTAAAAATATGACTCGAAATATAACCTGATTAAACAGTTGTCATTAATCAATGTTAGATTACACAGAGCACCTCGGTGGTTACCCAACAATTTCTGTGGAATGGTTGGATAGTGATATATGTCTGATTTCCCATAAACTGGAAGATATGCAAGTGAAAAGTAACAAGTTGGCAGAAGAAGCATCAAAGATAGGACTTCACGTGAACATAGAAAAAACAGAGATGATGAAGATTCCTAGCCAACATCAACAGCAACAACAACAACAGACAACAATCAGCATAAGTGGGAAGAACCTGAAAGAAACAACCTCCTTCACCTACCTGGGAAGCATCATCTCAACTACAGGCGGAACTGACGAGGACATCAAAGCCAGAATCGGAAAATCAAGACAAGCTTTCACTACTCTCAAATCTGTGTGGAGGTCAACAGCAATCAGCATCAAAAATAAGATCCGGATTTTCAACTCCAATGTGAAGTCAGTGCTACTATACGGATCAGAGACTTGGCCGGCGCGTCATAAAGAGCATCTCCAACAAACTTTAAACCTTCATTAACAATTGTCTTCGCTCAATACTCAAGATCAGATGGCCGGTGAGAAAAGATCAGCAACAGGGATCTCTGGGAGCGAACCAATCAGGAACCGATTGTGAAACAAATAGGCAGGAAGAAATGGTGATGGATTGGCCATACGCTGAGGAAACCATCAAGTGACATCACTAGACAAGCCACCGCTCGACTGGAACCCGAAAGGGAGGCGGTGAGTTGGTCGTCAGTGCAAGGGTGACTTGGAGGAGGTCATGCGAGGAGGAGATGAAAGCATGTGGACAGACCTGGAGCAGGGTGAAAAAGTTGTCAGAAAATCGAAGGCAATGGAGGTGCGCAGCTGAAGCCCTATGTTCCTCTAGGAACTAAAGGATACAATAATAATAATAATAAGTTGGCAAAATTTTGTACCACTAGATAATCGTCAACAGAGAACATCATTTTGAATAATTCCACTTGTGATTATGTATTACAGAATCAAATCATGCGGTATGTGGTGCGCATTTTGTGTTTGATTTTTGCAACTGTAAGCTGTGTAATATGGTGATTGATGACCAGCAGTGGAACCTTCCTGGATGGGTATCTCGCCTCACTTGGGACTCCTCATCTGGATGTATGTATATATGTTTTTGCGTACTTGTGAACCATTCAAATAGTTACCATCCTAAAAGAAACAATGATCCAAAGAACAAGAACCAGCACATAATTACTAAGACAAACCAAACATTACACTGGCTCACTGAGCCAATACTTTTCTGCAGCTCACAGAAGTGTCATTAATATTTTGTAACCTCAGATAAGGAATAACTGCTTGAGGCTAGTCACACGTAACTTCTTTAAGGTGATCTTTGAGTGTTTTCCGTACAAAGATCCTACCGCGGACTACGGAAACCTAGACTGATAGGGTGGAATGTGCAAGCTTTTCAGGAGATCTTTTCTAACCGTCCATTGCTTACCAGAGAGGATAGGCAACATAACTAGCTTGCTGATCCCCTCTGAGGGAAGCACCCTACGGCTTCCACATCCCTCAGACTCTCAACATAGTTTGAGTAACTTATACTATGGTGGAAACTGCTTTGAATCTAAACACATGTCACGACTTTCAAGATCATTCATTCCTGATAGTGTAGTTCATTGGGTTATCGTGTCAAGTTAACGATGATCAGTAAGGGATCATTAAATTTATTAAAGGTAATAAGTCTTCTGAATACAACTCCTACCAAATGAACACTGTGTTGCATTTTCGTCTAATATCATATTTGACTAAATGCAGCTCCTGTAGACTCAATGAAACTAACTGATTAAGACGTCTTACCGCAACTTTGGACATTACACTTCGGGAAACGTTGGTGTCCATTTAAAACCTGTATAGATCTCTGACAAATAAACAAAAATTTCATTGGAATTCAACCTTCATTTCTACATTCACCCATGTCTTATGTTTTTATTCTTCGTGAATTTCTTTCAGAAAACATTCAGAATTACGAATTGAACAGGTTATATCAAGTGATAGTGGGAATTATTCATGTCGTGGAGAAAGTCAACAAAGTCAGATCAGTAAATGGGTATTTGTCTCAGGTTAGTCTATATCTAATAAATTTAAATTTTTTGTTTTAATTCTAAATGTTTAACTGTTATAGGATCTAAGTTATAAGATCATAATCAGAATAGCAACAAACTGATTGAAATTTATATATGCTTAATAGGAGTTTGACCAGAGACTGATATCAGTTAGAGAATCATTGAAAGCTAGCTGGGAGAAATGAACAGCTATACCATCCCCTTAGTGTTGGAAACCATTGGCGGTACTCACCCACAGCCAGAGTTCGAAGTCAGGACCTTCTGGTTACAAGGCAAGCTAGCTCGTATACCATTCAACCACTGGAACCCGATTCAATGACCAGCTCATGAATTCTAACTTCTACCAATTCATAATTTGGCGCAACCGGCACCAACCAATGTCATCGGTAGGAAATCCACTCTCACAGTTGACTAGTTGAACCTCAGTGATCACGACTTCTCACAAGAACTTTAGGAAACTGCGTCCTGCAGCAAGTCACTAGCGAGCATCAGAATAATTTTCACAAGTTGGTTTCTAAGGATTAAATTCGTTTTGTTTTGTTTTTTTGACGAGTTTGACCACGGATTGATATCAGTTAGAGTTGGTGCATACTGCCAATGATTCCCAAACTAGGAGAATGGAACAGCTGTCCAATTCTTCCAGCTGATTTTCAATGGTTCTCTAACTGATATCAATCTCTCGTGAAACTCGTAAAAACAAAACTAATCCTTACAAACCAATTCTTGAAAATTATATTCAATAGGTATATTTTCGCCTAAATGAAATTTTAAGTGTAATAATGTTATTCTGAGATTTCTGGAATGTGATTTTTGCCAATTTTTTCTTGAATTGAGGCCTTAAAACTATGATTTTTCTTGGCTTAGTATGCACCGAGGAAGCAAAATTCCCTATTAATTACGGTACCTTTCTTAATCATATTTAAAATGGCTTTCTTATAGATTATGTAATTAGGCAGGATGAATCATTCTAGGCCAAGCTAAATTTTTACTTGAATAAGGCAATTAGAAGACAAATATTATTGTGAGATGATATTGTCATTTCGCAGTCTCTTTTTGACTAACACAGTTCACAATAATAAGGTAAAATAAAATGCATGACAATTACTCAGTTATATAAAACAAAAGTACAAATTAACGACCAATCATATCTAATTAAATTAGTCAAGTAGTCAGTTCATGGTAGGCGACGATTGAAGTGGTCCCAGGTTCGTATCCCGGCTGGGCCCGTGGTTTTTTCATGCTGAAAACTCCATACTTGTACCAAAAATACTGTGTGGAATCAAGCTGTAATAACAAAAAGTCTATTGTTTTTTTTTATACACATAGTTTAGGATGTATGTGATTAATCCCCAAATGTGCTTCCATCACCTTCAATAACCTTGAATTAGAGTTATGTGAAATAATTGTGAGGCAGTCATTAATATTGATTTTGTAACCTGACATCAATAAGTGCTTTGCAATGGATGATGATGGGGATGGATTTCTATTCAGATTAGTAAATGCATTGGGATTTTTTATGTGTAATAATAATCATTTTGGAACATGTTCTTTTCGACGACCACGCTGGAACATCCTATTGGTTCTGCCTATATATGTGTGTGTCACCGCAACTGCAGATCAACTTGCAGATACCGTTTGAAGTAGATTCCACAGAATTTCATCCTTTAATTGTAGGTACAGGGATCGAAAATGTTCGACATTTGAGGGAAAGAGATGCGGCGTAGAATGTATGCGCTTGATGGTTGAGCGAAGTCTTAAGCCGTCAACTGTCCGCATAATTGTATTGATCGTAATCCACTAGTTCGAACTATCTGGATGACCTCACAGTCTTTACATGGTATATGTCAAATTACATTATTTTGTTTTAATCGAATCTATTGAGTCCTTAAGCTGATAAAGTTTGTCTGTGACTGAGCTGGGTGGTTTAAATGCTACCTTAATTGCAGACTAACTAGGCCTCTAGGGTTCCTTCGTTATATGACAGTGCTATCGAGATTTTAAGTTGCTAATCACATGTGCACGCACACAATAGAGTAGGACAGGGTGAAAGTATTAGAAAGAATAATAAAGGTGGGGAGAATGGAATGATGCAGCCTCATTCGGGAATATGTAGGAATATATGCAATGAAAAACGGGAAAGAATAAGTGTAATTAAAGAAATTCAGTAAGTCATGTGAAAACGTCGATACAATAAACTGTGCTTGAAACGTCATCCAGTTTTCAACACTATATCAAGTGGTTGGAGGCAGTCAGCATGAAGCCTTTGAACTTAGGTTTCGTGCTAGTTGGCACTCATCGGCAAGGCGTATCTGTAACCTTGAAGGAACTCATGTCCCCAGTCTGAGATTCGAACCCGCGTCACCCAGTGCTGCAGTCAGAGACGTTACCACTGAGCTATTCGGGCTCGCGATTGACCTCCTGTAGGACTGTAGTGGGTATTTTGATTGGACACTAGTAACTAGTGTGACGTTTCTAGTCCTTTCTTTGGTGCAGACTGAATTTTATCAGTCAGGTTTGCAATTTGGCCACAATTCTAGGTAGCTGGACATCACGGTGCACATTAATTTGATGATATTAAGATAGTTGGGGGCAATAGACAGGAAGCCTTGGACTTAGCTTTCGTTCTAACTGGCACTCATCAGCAAGGTTCTATATCAAATAAACTTATCTAGTTCCATTATGCATTATAATAATAAAGGTTTTCTTGTATTTCTAAATGAATGGAAAACAAAACGATATTGTTGTTTTTACTGACGTTTCGTTATTTAATGCCAGTAGCCTTATCAAAGTAATAACATTAAACCAGAATTTACAAAATCTCAGCATATATATAACAAAGAGTGAACAAAGTGAGAACATTACTCTGTTAAGTATCAGATTTTATTTGGATAAATCAAACAGAGTTGTTATACAGTAGTATTTACTAATGACCACGTTTCGAGCACAATTGATTGCTGCTCATAATCTTATCAAGTCACTCACACAACCTTCTTCATTCTTTTATATACATCAGTGAAATTGACTAGACATTTGAATCAAAACCAATATGGGATAATGTACATATTCAGAAATAACAATATGAGTGTTGTGGATTAAATACAATCAGATGGGAAATAAAATGATTTATATATTAAAAATAAGTACATTTTAGAATGTTATAATGCACGTGAATTGAAATGGAATTTTAGGATTATTTATTATTCTCCCTTGATTTGACTGACTGGTGGTAATAATATTTTCCGCGTCTCTCGCGTACTTGCACGAGTCATTTCTGTTGTATGTGTTGGGTGCAAATTAGTCAATGAACCAGTCGGAATTCGATAATCAGTCTCTCCACCCAACACATGCTTTAGAACTGACTCAACTTAAATACTAGAGATATGGAAGATATTATTACCACCAATCAAATCAGAGGAGGATAATAAATAATTATTTATTTTACTATAAAAACACTCGTCTTTTTTCCATCTGAATGCATTTTATTCATAACACCAATATTATTTCCCGAGGTTCATTACCTTATATTAATTTCACTCAAATGTCTAGTCAAATGTTACTCATGTACTCGCTTCGCCGGTAAATATACAATGCATGGCTGGCACAGCGGTTAGGACTCTTGCCAACCATGCATATGGTCCGGGATTCGATCTCCTGCTGACGTACACCCAATATCAATGGTCGGCCTACGAAATTGGGCTACCGACATCATATGCTGAAAATTCCAAAAAATACGGTGTGGAGGCAAGCTCTAATAAAATAATGTATTTGATATATATATTGCATGGAGGATTTAATCATGAGCTGACATCCGTTAGAGAACCACTGGAAAACCTGGGAGTACTGTACAGCTTTTTCGTCCTAGTTCAGGACTCTTCATCAATACGCACCTACCGGGTTTCGAACCCAAGACCTTCTGGTCACAAGGCGAGCTCGTAGACCATTGAGCCACTGGGAACCGATCCAATGGTCCTTGAATTCTAACTTCTGCCAACTGACGACGTAGCGCGACCACTTCGCAATGTCTTCTTCGATGAGTTACTGTCTCATCTTCGACCTGCTGTACCCTAATGGTCACGGCTTCCCACTAGAAGCCCTGGTTAATTACCTGAATAGGGCCAGTCACTAGTGAGCATCAGATGAATTTTCAAGTATTGGTTTTTTGTAGGGATTTTGTTTGATTGCATGGAGGATTTAATCAGCTGTCCAGTACTCCCAGGTTTTCCAGTGGTTCTGTAACTGATGTCAGCCCATGATTAAATCCTCCATGCAATCAAACAAAATCCCTACAAAAAACCAATACTTGAAAATATATGTATATATATACTGCCTTGATATGATTGTGAGCAGCCATAAATTGTACTCGAAAGTTGGTCATCAGCATATATTACTGTATAACACACTGTGTGACTTTATCAAAATAAACTTTTATCCATAATAGAGTTATACCCTACCACAGTGCACAAGTTTTATTCTTATATAAATAAACTTACCTAATATGAAATAAATACATTCTAACTAAGGAGCAAGTTACATTCTTACATAAACTGTTTTCATGCCAACTGACGTGTGACAACTAGTACGAAACCTGGGCCCAAGGCTTCCTGCTGATTGCCTGCAACCAGCTTATATCATCAAATCAATGTGCACCATGATGGAGAGCTACACAGAATGGTGGTTACTTTGGAAACCTGACTGACATAAATCAGTCTAAACACTAGTGACTAACTTGAGTCCAATCAAACTATCCAATACAGGTCCTACAAAAGGTCAATCGCCGGGTTAAATAGCTCAGTGGTAACGTCTCTGAATGCAGCACTGGCTGATGGGGGTTCGAACCTCAGACGGAGGAAATAAATGCCTTCAAGGTGGTTGAAGATAACCCTTCCTGGCTGGTAAGTGACAACGAGCCCGTAACCTAGATCAGGCAGGGTTTCCTGCCCACTGACCGCCTCCAACTATCTAATACCAACAATCGTTTCTACCAGTCTGTTAACATTAGAAGAATATTTATAGACTTAGACAACCAACTCCAAAGAAAATACTTTATTAAAATTTAGAAAAAATATATGTGACAGTCATCAAAGTTGACATTAGACATCATAAATGTACATGTAGTTTTTGTGTACCGTTTCCCCTTTGCTTAACACTTACAACATAACTGAATTCTATGTGAATCGAATAGGTATTATTCTCCTCCACCTTCTATGCAGTTCTAAAAACCACCTTTCTTCAATAATTTCTTCTTTTCTTTAAATTTTGTTTTTTTATTTCATTTTTAGTTTATTCAGCTTGTCCAGTGAATGTTTGCAATGTAGGCACATGTTTTATTATTAATAACAATAACACACTTTGTAGGTAAGTAAAAATTATTCATGATAAAAAAGAAAGCCTTAATTTATTTGTCTGCTTTTCTTTTCCTTTTGATGAATACATTTCATCATTGCATTTCTTGTTTTTCTTTGCTTTTTTGAAGTAATTTTATTAATTTTATGACAGTGGGATAGATAAAACACAATAGTGATAATGATAATCCACTCCTCAAGGATTGGTTTGCAGAGTATTTTGTTTGATTGGTTGGAAGAGATGACATCGATTAGAGAACCATCGGACAGCATCCACTAATCTACGAGCTCACCTTCCAAACAGAATGCCTTGGGTTCGAAACCCACATTGTGGGTGCACACCGTTGAAGCGTCTGAAAATTGCTCGGACGAAACATATCTCCAGTAATTTCAGGTTTTCCAGTGGTTCTTTAACTGGTATCAACTCAAGATGAAATCCTCCAATTAATTCATTTCTTACTGTTGTAGAAAAAATAAATACCACGTTACTTTTATATTCTGTAAACACAGTGGTAGGCCGCTTTCTAAAAAAACAAGCACAGAATCAGCAGTTCGATTCCAGGTCAGTGCATTACCAGCTGACAGTTAGTCTGGGAGGCCTGCCGAATTCAACTGATAGAATCATCACTACTACTGCTCTTGAAACTTTAAATTTTGAAATCCCTTACTCCACTCAGAAAGCCAAGTTTATGGAATCAAAGACAGCCATAGTATCACCGAAATATTTGGAAGATTTTTAATGTCCTTATAGAAGTAAGAATACTGTGAAGTCTTTCTGTTTTCTGTCTTCTGACGTACATCGTAATGCCATCTACACAACTCCAGTATTCTTCTCTTCTTATCTCTATAAACGATGTGGCATTCATCCTTAAGCAAAATGAACTTAGAATAAGAAGGATGTTTTTGATTTCATCTTAAATGTAGTGTCACGTAGCGTAAAAAAAAGATCAAATGGCCGGGAAGAATAAGTAACAAGAAACTATGGGAATAAATTAACCAAGAATTTGTTGTTCAACAAATAGGTAGGAGAAAATGGAGATTGAGTGGGCACACTGTGAGGAAACCGCCGAATGACATTGCCTACCAATCAGGTCATCGGTAGAATGGAACCCGAATGTTAAATGATGAGTTGGGCTGGAGTTCAAGGGTGGCATAAAGAGGAGGTCATGTGAGAGGTAGTTGACAGAATATGGCCAATCTTCCCACTCAGAAACCAAGGGTACAATAATAATAGTGTGGTGAGAGCAGGCTGCTAGCCGATTGGTTGACACTAATCTACGTTAATGTCTAGGTCACTAAAATGGGCCGTGAGAAAATATGAACAAGGCCGATTCAACAACCAATCACAGCAAAGTTAACGTGGCAAAATATGATTCGCAGATAGAGAACTCTATTTGTCAAGGAATCCCGAAACAACCAATCAGAAGCCTGCGTTTGTCTGCAACCAATCAGATGACTGCGCTTTTTCTACTTGCATAAGCTATAATAATGTATGTGAAATATATGTAAATACGTGTTGATTTTCATAATAAAACGATCTGTTGCCTGGCCCTTGTCTTCTGTTGTTACAATAGTAGTAGGGTGATAGACTGTTAGATCCCCCAGTATAAGAATACTTCTGATATCAAAATCCATAAATAGTCATAAACCCCTTTATTAACGTTATCCAACCTCTGAGTAAATTCGATATATGCCATTTGATGGTAACATTGTATGGTAGCAGCATAATATAGGCAGTTAAGAAAAAAATATAAATGAAAGTTTCCTATTTAGTGACTAAATAATAGTACAGGTTAGTAAGACTCCACAGCTTCTCTATATCCCGCGGTGTCATTGAAGAATAATGTTGATAATTCTTGAATGAGATCTAGACAATATGCCAGTAAGCTCTGGTTTACTGTGGTTGTCTAGTTAATGTCAGTTTTTGAATTAACGCGAAAAGATGTCCATCTTGTTTTAGAAATACTTCTGTTTGTAATTTATAGTTATGGTCGCGACTTTTCATACGGTGTCACCTAGAAATGTAGCAAATACATATGTACATTATTTTCTCAGGTTCAGAGTGAGCCAGCCTATCGCCATTTCATCTTGTTCTCTGAAATAGTTTTAACTAGCTTTGTGCTTTCCCATAGCCTCGCAGAGCCTCTTAACACAGTCTCTTACATGTCATCCTGTAAGTGACACCCAGCTGATCCTTTACTATTCACGTTCCGCTGAAATGTTCTGACTGGTGCATGATGTCAGTCATCGGTCTCCCTTCACCCTGTTTCTAACTCATCTCAATTTCCTCCTGAATATCCTTTGAGCAACTGGTATTTGGTTGATTCGTTGCTAGAGTTCCTCATTGCTTATCCTTTCTCAACCGCCATCAGGCATCTAATACGAAGTGAAGTGAGCCGTTATTTAAGAATCTGAAGATTGTTCACAACTGCTTCGGTAACATCCTAATTTTCTCAACCACAAAGAAATTAAAAAATTAAAATTATTGTTGGAAACGTAAATCATGTTCCTTGCGCCTAATGATTTCATCTAAATGAGCGTTTGTCTTTATTTTCTCTTCCTGCTTAGCCTTGACATCTCCATCTGTGCCATATTTGGCTAAAACAATGCTGCTTTGAAAAGTTAATCTGATGGACTCTCTTCTAATTTCTCCTATTTAAAATGGTTGATACTTGATATTGTTGGTGGTGATTTATCTTCATCACCCCTGTCTCCACTATGTTCCGCTAAGGTCCTGTGTTTGCTAGCTGCCTGTTCATCTAACCTGTTGGTTTTTACCTGTAAATCATTGAGTCTGTATGACATAAGACAAAAATCGTCTGACTGCGCTGACTTCCTTATAGTTACTGAGGTGATTTGCAGAGACAGGCTCGCTAGCTACGTTCAGCATTCCTCCCATAATGGACAGGGATTAAACTACCAATATTATCATAATCCCGAATGTTCCAAGTGGAATATAGGGCTTCAAACTTTGAGGTTTTCAGACGTGATATTGTTGTTTTTACAGGGTGGAAATAGTAACCATAAACTGAACCCTGTTTCACGGTCTTTTAATCGACTAGTAAATTAAGTGAGCTTTATGAGTAACTCCATAGTTAATCGGCGCCACACAGAGGTCAAGCCGGCTGAGCATACGACAAATTGGCTGTTGGAACACTAAGATTAGTTTCTTCAGTGACAAAAGATCTACATAAACCAAACATGTTCTTTTCATTATTTTTTTCTTCAAGATGCCCTAAAAGTTACACCGGTGAACACTGTGATCAACTTGTATCCAACGATAAAATAACCAACAAACTCCTTATGAATACTCAACCAATAAAACAAAGCATCAACAGTTTACAATCTGATTCCAAGTTGTCTGTATCCTCATCATCACCGCCGCTGCCGCTACCGCCGTCTACTAGTACAACACTAACCAACGGGTTACCAACAATCAGCAGTGAGAATAATCATCCACGTCAAAATATTCAACTGTTAAATGAAATGAAACGTGAAAAATTTGATTTATGCACTTTACCTGAATTTCAATTTACAACAGGTAATTTAACTAATTTTTTTTAATGTGTTTTCTCTGCTTCAACATTGAATGATTGGCGGGAATTTCATTTTTGTTTGTTTGCTTTTTTTGTCACTGGTTGTTGTTACTCAACCATTTTATATATATAAAAAGGTTTTCTCTCTCAATCTCCTTTGGGAATGGATGAAAACAGTTTTAATTTATTAGTTTCATTTTCTGAGGGAAGTTTTTACCCTTTGATTTCTTTGTGAAGAAGAGCAAAACAAAAAAGGTGGAGGGAGAGAGGGAGAGAGTGAGGATGGAAGGGAGTTCAAGTCATATCGTGAAAGACGTCTAGGTGATATATGAAACTAGGCAGTTGCTTTTTTTTTAACTTGTTCAGTTTATGTGATCACTAATAGCGCTTGGATTTTTGCTCTAATAACATTCACTTTATGCTTAAGTTTAATATACTGAAGGTTGAAGGAAAAAAAGGATCGTAATAGACATTTTAATTATCAGAGTAGATGATGCTTTTTTGTAGCTTTGTTAAAAAGTGCTTGAATATTTAAAGGTATATGACAAGATATCAAATGAGCGCGTAATGCGTATTTTATATATAAGAGACAATAAACAGTGGCAATAGATTGTTTCCCAAGTGAACAATCTTTAATTGTTTTAAGTTTTTTTAGTGAACTAATGGAATGATATATCTATAAAAGAATTATTGTGCAGTTCAACACCTGTTGAAGTAGGAAGTAAATTAAGATACATCCAGAATTATTATTATTATTGTTCTCTTGGGTTCCTAGTGGAACGTAGGGCTTCAACTGCACGTCTACACTTGCTTCTGTCTTCCTTCTGATGTACTTTTCACCTGCATCTATGTTAGTCAATCCATAGTGACGCCTGACGCACACGCGATATCACCCAGCGGCCTCATCAGCAAGTGAGTGTCCAATTCATCTCCACTTTTTCCTGCATATTTGTTGGTTGGCTATTGGTTCTTGTTTCCTTTGTTCCCATAGTTTCTTGTTGGTAATTCTTTTCAACTCAGCCACCTGATCTTTAGTATAGAGCCAACGAAGACAGTTGTTGGTTGATAAAGGTCTGCAACAGGCTGTTGGAAATATTCTTTGTGACCCGCCCGTCAAGTTTCTGATCCGTATAGAAGAACTGACTGACTTGACGTAGTTTGTATTGAAAATCCGAGCGAATTTTGTTGTTGATGGTGGCTGAGTGACGAAGATTTCCAGATTGGTTTCAGGTTGATGATGAATGTGTTTCTTGTCCACCACACGATTCTCGCTCGATTTTATATCCTCGTTCTATCTGACTGCCTGTAGTTAAGACAATGCTGCCAAGAGAAGTGAGTGAATGAAGTAACTCCCGTTGATGGTGACTGCGCCGGATGTTGCTGATGTTGTTGTTGTTGGTTGGTTATTTTCATAACCTCCGTCTTGTCTATGTCCACCTGGAGTCCTGTCTTCTCTGGCTGCTTCTTCCACCAGTTTGTCGGTTTTCGTTTGTAAGTCCTCCAATTTGTGTGACATCAAACATAAATCATCCACGCGCGAAATCCAGGTCTTCTAGGTTCTTCACGTCGGTCCAGGATATCGCTGTCCTCTCGTTTCCCACTGTCTGACACATAATCCAGTCAGTCCACAGCAATTAGGAATATCATTGGTGATAACAACCAGCCAGCCTTGTCTGACTCCTGTGTTTACTCCAAATGCCTCGCTTAGTTTTCCATCGTGGATCATACATCCAGAATACTCTGGTCCAAATGGGTTATCCGAGTAGATTTGTAAGGAGACACACTAACACCAGATATAATAAAGATAAACCAACCACAGTTAAAAAGATGCGATGCGGAAATTTAACAATCGATTCCGCATAACTATCGGTATTTAACTGGCTTTCAAGAATACAGTCGTAAGGCTTTAGAAAATGGTTCGTCGGAAGTGCAAATTTTTCTCTCCTTATGTTGTCTTATTATGCGTAAGTTTTGTTATTATGGCTTTTGATACTACCTTAAATTTAGCACTCTTTTCCTGACAATGGAAAAATTCAAAATGGATCAAATAATTAGATGTTTTTTCAACACTTCAAGCTCAGTGGTAACGTCTCTGACTGAGGTACTCACGGGGTGATGAGGCTTTGAATCTCAGAAAGGACATAAGCTGCTTTAAGGCTGCAGATACACCTTGCTGATCAGTGTCAACCAACACGAAACTTCGGCCTGGTCAAAGCTTCCTGCCGATTGCTTCCAAATTTGATGAAGAGACATCTAGTGGCTTCGTGACCACATTGCACACTTGAATGACAGAATTTAGTGTTTAAAACAAGCAACAAAGGTTAATAAAGCAAGATTCAATGAATTCATCAAATTTCGGTAGATCTCGTCAGTTGAATACTCTAAATACATGGATATATATACTTTTGAAATTATATTGGGAGATATAAGACTGATAAGCACATATAAACTGCATTGAATTAGTCATGCAGAAATATACGTGCGAATATTTTCCAGGTCATGTTCCAATAGATAAGGATAAAGAGAGTATGGGAGATCAAAATTAGGATAAATTGCATTACGCTTCAATTACATCACTTACATAAACAATTAGGTAATAGAGAATATAACAAGAATTGTAAACAGACTAATATCAATAGTAATAGTTATAATAACAATAATAATAATGCTGAAGTGAGTTAAGATAATCCTACTGATAGAAGATAGTTTTAAATAATAATAATAGGTAGAATAATAAGTAAAGCGTAATACCATGGATTCAGAGTGACGACCATCTCATTTTGTACACAGAGACCTGGTTTATAAACTTGAATTTCCCAAGCCTCTGCAATTGCAAGCATCTTCTTGTTTCTTTGTTTGCTGACAACAGTGAATGACTTAACCGCGTCCATATCATGTCCGTTATCCACAAGATGTTTTTTTTATTGAGGTTTTTGGCACTTTGCACTCAGCTGTTTTCAACCATTTTGGCAAATCCCCCATCATGCGAGTAGACAATCGCCTTTCTGTACGACTTATGCGTATTTGCTTCCACAAACACACTCATCAAATCGATATACACAGTTTGAAGTGTTGAGGACCGGTGACTGGTCTTTCCCAAATTGTTGAAACACTCGCTTAGTGGTGTTAAGGAAAGTAAGTTTTGAGGCATAATAAATTCTCTTGATAGCTATATTGAGTCTTCGTTTGACTACTTCATGTACATCATCTCCTTTGAATGACAAACTGATATAGACAGGTTTTTTCGGAACTGTTTGGTTAGTTTTGCAAGAGGTAATTTTTTTAGAGTATTTATTAACGAACTTCTCAGGATATTCATTCTTAGATTAAACATCCTTTAGAATTCAGTGTGAATAAAAGATAGGACTAGACAGACTACACCAGTTACTGACCAGTGTTCAATCAATAAAAAAGAACACACTAAATGTATACTACAATATTACCTGATTTCATTGACGTTTGACAGTTGAATACAATCCGAAACAATATCTCAGGGTAGATTCCGTCTTCAGCCATCATCAGTTGGAGAATCGCTGAAAACCAGAAAACTTCTTTCTAGTTGTACACTCTTCAGAAATATACAGACAGCACCCTCATGCATCAGACATCGAAATCAGGACATTTCTAAGCCATACATGTTATCCTTTATAACTTCTCCCACTAACTGACGATATCGGCGACTGTCTGTCCTTACAAGTTACTTGCTTAACTTCAGAAGTCAACACTTCTTCACAGAAATCCAGCCAACTTCATTGTACTGCTGGTTGTTGATAAGCACTGAATTACTTTTGCTTTGTACATGTTTCATTGATTTTGACGGGGACTGTGAACTGACATAAGCTCGATAATTACTGAGAACTAAGGATTACTGGACGACAGCATTTAAAAAACCCCCGCTATCGCAATAGTTTCCAAGAGCAAAGTGCATCATTTTCGAATGCAAAATGCATCAACTACGTTAAGTGGCCAGCGTAATATTGTAAAACGCAGCCAAATAACACTGCAAAATCTCAAAATGGTATTACTGATATATATATATATATATATGCATGGAATAACAGATTAGTTATAGGGTATCAAAATAAAAAGTCGTATTTGTGTGATAAACGTGCTAAGCCGAAACCGATTACAAAATACTGTAAAATAGGAGACAACGGTGGTGATTAGTCTTCATAATAGATTCGTAGAATATGGGGTAGGAAAACTGACGAGTCAGTTCAAAGTTATAAAAAAGGTTTCAGATGAGTGGCCAGTACAAAGTGGTATGTTTTAAAGAAGAGCAGATGGTAAGACTGCAATGAGAGGTTCATAATGAAATAACGAATATGTGAAATGAAATAGGTGGAGGCATATATTGAGGAAAGAGATCATATCACTAATAATAAGTCCGGATAGTATAAATGGAAAATTCGATAGTATTGAGAGAATGGTTGCATGAAGGGCTTAAATTATGACGAATAATAATAATAATCGTAATATGAATATTTGTAATAATAAGCAGAGGAAAAAACGCAGAAGAAGAATCATCAATCCAAGTTCGGCCACGATAGGAACAGTGTCTGGACATGTTCTTATCGGATACAAATTTCCGGTTTAGTTGATCTTATTGCAACAGGGTCAGCTATGTGTAGCAGACGTAAGCGGATTATAAGTGATAACGACTTCGGAATTCTGTATATAACCCTGAAAGCTGTGTTGACATCGATACGACGTCCAGTGTTGACCACTCAATTCCCCCCCCCCTTCCGCTGCTGTTCCAAGCAGGTAAATGTTCTCTAACTCGTAGACGAAACTGCTTTACGGTGAACTGTATGTAACTTGAACCACAGGAGCAGTTGAAGTGGTATATGCATTAAGAAGAGATATTGTTAGATAAGACACCCTTGAGTTTCTGAGTGAACACTTGATGGCTACTGAAGGATAAACACAGACGTGCAGAGTAGAAAGTTTTCTTGATTGTCTTGGTTAAACGTTGAGATAAAATCTCCGCCTGGATGATACTTTCATCATATGTGACGAGGATATTAACATCAAATTGATAACTGAAGAGGTTAACAGCTGCCATTAGGCCATTCAATTCACATCGGAATCAGAGAAGAACTCGGAATTCTATTTTTGGATGTATTTCTAAAAAGGAGATCTGATGGTCCTCTTCAAAGATCCATCTACAGAAAACCAACATGGAAAGGTCAGTACACAAATTTTCAATTCGAGAAGAAAGAGAAACCCGATCCACTCCTTATCCTGAAGAATAAAAAAGGTAAGTTTCAGTGACACAATCGATGGGGAATTGAGGCGACTCAGATATGTTCTCACTGAGAATGGATATCTCCCAAGATTTATCGATAAAAACATGAAGTTAAAGTAAACGCCTGAGCTGACTTAGACAGTACCGAAGTGACTGCTATTTATGAGCGCTGAATTTAAAAATGATACCGATAAGAAAGAAACCTCACACACAAAGGGTCAAAGTTCACTTCAAAGAAACAATCAGTTCCAATACAAGAAGCTGCCTAGAGGGTGTGAAAACGCACGAAAACAACAATCACGTTCAAGCTTACGCGCCAGGAGAGATTATTAATAAGCTTGTGGAGAAATCTGATGGTTCACTTCAACAAATTGAAGTATGCGCTGAAGATGTCGCCTAGTAGAGCGATGAAAGCTCCGCAAATGAACTATCCAGCTCAGAAAACACAACCACATCAAAATGTGTGATATCTTCAGTTTGAGATATGAGAAGTGATTATAGTTTTAGTGGTGTGAAATATTTCTGTATCGTGAATTAAAAGTCAATCCGAACAAACAATATTCTTTTCAGTAAATACTCTTCATGTACTTACAATTAGCAAAGTATACTTATCGTTACTTAATGGCCAGTCATATGGGAGATATATTACTTTCACGTAGAATAACAGATTAGTAGGGGTGACAAAATTAATTGTACTGGTGTGTAGCAAACGTTATGAGCTGCGTTCAATTGCTGAAAATTGTGAAATGAGATTAGTCATGATGGATTCCTACAATGTGGAGAAAGAAAACTGACCAGTTAGTTCAAGGTTATAAATTGTATCAGATGAGTGGTTAGTACAAAATAGTTTGCATTAAAAGGAGATATTTAGGATCTCATTGGATAGTTCATCATGAAATAATCAAAATGCGAAATGGAACAAGTGAAGACATATACTGAGAAAAAGTAATACTATCACTAATAATAATTCCGTATTGTAATTAGTTGTATTCTCAGAGCTGTTTGGTTTAATTGTAGAGCTTTCGTTAACCTTATGGACAACAAGATCTTTTGTGCGTAACTGGGTTATTGCTACTATAGTTAAGTATATGGTTTAAGTATGTGTTGATTTTCTGCATACTTGTGTTTCTAAATTTCCTGTCTTAGTTCATCTAATTAATCTAATTATCTAATTCTTCTTCTCTTGTGAATTTGATGTCTTCGAAAATGTGTGTAGAAGACGTAAGAAAACTGTGCGTAATAACGAATTTTTAATTCGGTGTATAGCACTTAAAACTGTGTTGAAGTCGATGAGATATCCAATATCGACCAAGTGTGACAGGACAGAGCCGTCTGAAACAAACTGGTAAATGTTCTCCAACCCCTAGACGAACCTGCCTAATCATGAGCCCAATATAACTTTAACTAAAGGAACAGCTGAAATGGTATATGCATTACTGGCCATTGTAACGACAACAAATATTATATTTTATAATTGTGTAAGAACCTGAAGAGAAATTATCGGAAAAAATATTCTTCGTTCAGAATGGCTTTTAATATATATATATATATATATATATATATATATACGCCATCAGTAGAATGCCTAACGTCCGCTTTTTTATATTCCTGTTTTCCAGACTGTATGCCCGTCAAAAGTCATTTAACAACTTTCATAGGCACTGCAATCACATGCTCTGTATTAATATTACTGCTGACATTCTGTGCTGCTTATATCAGGTTTGTTAATTATTATTATTATTGTCACTTATTGGAGTATTTTCCTATGACGGTTATGTGATACTTTAAAACACGTTTAAAATATGCCTTTTATTGTGTCGTTTACATTTAAATGTCTAAAAACTTTTAAGGCACCTACCAAAATGTGAAAATTGATCTGATACTCACAAGTGATTGATTCAGGAATAAGGTATTTTTACTTCCATTGAGACTTCATGATTATTGGGATCAACAAGATGGTTGTGTAGACGGAAATTCGTTAATGGTAGTGTCCAGTGGTTGCGCTATATATCCCTATATAGCAGAAGTTAAAATTCATGAGACAATGAATTACGTATCAGTAGCTAGGTGGTGGACGAGATCATCAGATTACTTGAATGCCTTGAGTTCGATACTTCATGGGTGAGGTGACTGTCAGGGTTCCGATAAAAAGACGCAAACCAGGTCAAAATGGGCGACCAGCACTCCCCCGTTTACTGTGGTTCTCTGCCTGGAAGCGCACAGTATCACTGAAAATAAAAAGTTGAAAATCATGCGTTTTCGTCACGTAATCTGTATTGACTTCAAAACCTTTTGAATAAAGCAGGAACAACAGTGTGGTTTGTGCAGAATAATATGGTACCATCATTGCTGATTTCGTTGACTTCTCATCAGCTCAGCTGCTTACTTACAGCCTAAATAAATTATGAGGTTTATGCAGAGAAAAGTTTTAACATACTTGCAATCATTTTTCATGGTGTCAGTTGACAGGAAGTTCCACAATTAGTGAACAGTGCTCAGAAAATTGCGCTTATATAGTTTCTACACAAGCAGTTCGAGTTTAAACAAAATAAATGTATGCATAGAATGGCAAAGGAGTTGCGTAATAAAGACGAGAGATGCGTAAAATGCTTAGTGACTAATAAATCGAATAACAATGTACTGAATTTTACTTAAATCATAGAAACAAGTGACAAGCAAAATCACACTTTATCAAAGAAGTGAGATTAAAGCCAAAGATTACGTAATCAAAATGAAAGAAAGGATTAAATACATCCGATTCCCAGGGCAAAGATGACTTTTATTTCTCTCATTTTGATTACGTAATCGTTGGCTTTAATCTCACCTCTTTGACAAAGTGCAATTTCGCTTGTCACTTGTTTCTATGATTTGAGTTTAACGGCAGTAAATTGTTACTTAATAAATGATGCTACCATATTATTCTGCACAAACCACACTGGTGTTCTTAATTTATTCAAATGCATCAGGAGGGATAAATGCGTGAAGGTTTTTGAAAAATCGTCTTCCCCTTCAGAATCTTTCAAATCACTGATATATACACATATATGTATATATAAATATATTTATTCACTTACTTATTAAAGAAATAAGGTAATTACATAAGACTTGTTCATCACATCAACACTCAGTTCGAATAACGTGCTGTTTTATCCTGTCGCAGAGTGGAAATTCCCCTCTCATATTCGTTGACGCTATTTTGTCTGTTCCAATTTCTCACTGAGCACAGTTTCATCACTGAGATTATAATCCTGCTCCGTTATATGAAGAATTCCTCAACTTTGTACAAATCAGGGGATTCATACGTTTAGCTAATACATAACGATTTATAATACCACAATTTTATACGTATTATTCATGTGTGATAGGCGTGAACAATAGATTGTGAAGTTTACGATGAATGGGAAAAATCCAGAAGTTCGCCTACTCTGAAAGTCTCTTTCCTCTAGGAAATTCGATTATCAAGAACTTTATTCAATGAAAACACGTTTCCAGAGAATTCGTGCGTTGGCGGCACGGCGGTTAGGACGCTCGCCTACCATGCAAATGGTCCGGGAACCGATTCCCGGCCACTGAAGCACTCCTTTACTTCGCTAAGCCAGAAATAATCCTGGTAAAGAGGAAAGGTTAGGCAATAGGCTAGCAACCTCATCCTGTAAAATGAACACTGCTACAGAAACTTCAAGCCACTAGCTTGTAGCCACCCTATGTTCCACTGTGGAACGTGAAGGAAAAAAAGAGGATTCAGTTCTCATTGCAACGATATAATTTTCATGGTTGTGCAATCATATTTAGGAATGAATTTCAATAGATAATAACGAGTAAATGTAGCATGTGTATTAATATTATTGTTAAAATAAAATAAATAAAATAATAATGATAATAATAGTAGTAATGTTAATGACGACATGCGTGTCAAAAACACGCAGGATAATGACAACACCAATAATAAGGAATCTAAATCATCAGTAGTAATTCCACACAATGAAGGAACCTCGGAAACCTTACTCAGACTTCTTGACAAGGCAAGGATAAAGGTGGCATTCAAACCCACAAACTCAGTTAGAAACAAGCTTTGTCGGTTAAACGATCCTGTCTGTGAAGCCCATTAAACAAAACAATTTAGTTTATCTAATACTCTATCTGCAATCATTGTCAGGTCAAATGCATAGGTTAAACTAGTAGAACAGGGGCAGTCAGATTAGCCGAGCATAAAAACCTAGCAAAATCAAGATTGGTTGACCTGAATAAGATTCATCTATGGCACTCATTTCACGCAATCACGCACAACCATACAATAGGATGGGATAAGATGACAGCTTTTAAATCTAATGTCGCAGCAAGGTGGAGGGAGAAATTGATAACAGAAGCTTTGTTTATCGAATCAACTGCAAACCAACACGTCTAATAGGAGTGATTCAACACCTGTCCCAGATATCTGGAAAATCCGAATACCCCAACGACGACAAATAGGAGAGAACAAAAAGAACTATGAAACTCAAGTTTCGAAGTTGTATGATCATAACTGATATGATTATGAACAATAATAAATTGTGCTCGAAACGTCATCCACTAAATAATACTGTTTCACTCATTGTGTGATATATCGAATAAACAAAATAATATGGCATTAGCGTGTGTATGTTCAAATTTCGACAGGGAATGGGAATACTGAGTCACGATAAGAGATTTCCATAAATGGATGACAAGAGGATTAAGTTGTAGATGATGATGATTTCTTCTTCCTCCACCACTGTGTGTTTTGAACTGAAATGATCTTCCAGGCTTACACATGACCTCTATTTTAGAAGATTTACAAAGTCTTGTAGTCATTACAGATGATATTCTCCGGACTTTCATTGGAACTCTACAAAAAAGTGGCTTTTTTTCACCTTGTTTAAAAACCTCAGGTTGAATTTGGAACTTTAAATGTGGATTCTCAAAACACAAAATTGACCTTCTTATCTCGTTCCTTTTGACATATCGGCAGAATTTTCCCCTACTTCCCTTTTTATTCTTTATTTTTCAGAAGGCGACGAATAATTAGTAGAGGAAAACAAGATCGTCAACATTTGTCAAAAGTTGTAAGTTGTTAACAGATACGAATTGCATCATTGTGATTCTGGCGCATTATTTAACAGAAATACAATAATTACTTGACTTATATAATTCAATTTGAGATTTTCCCATCGATTAACTGGACCGAAGTCCTCGGTCTCAGGCTGACATGTCGGCTTCTCATGCAGATGCTTCGATGATGCCCGGGCATTTAATTAAGAGTTAATTGGTGTATGGTACCTAGCAGTGGAATCTATTGTTACCCACTAGACCACTTGGGCCACAACAGCCACCTCTTGTGCAACCGGTCATATTGATTATTTAATTCAATTTTAACGCTTTGGCGTATGAAACTATTGGCTTTGGGTTCGAGCCTCGGTGGGAACATCATCAGTCACTGCAGAATGCAGGTACATCCAGTAGCTGAAGAGTCCGAAATAGGACGAAATACGCATTATCCTGGATTCCACTACTGCTGATCACCAACCACCAATTTACTTCTAATTAATTTACTGGTTTTATCATAATAAAATTGGCTGGGGGGGGGATTTTCTACGTTTCTGTGTACCTCTGAATAATTCGTTTGGTCACGAGTTTGCATCACTTAGAAAATCATTAGAAACCTATGGAATTACTCGAGAGCCGTTTATTCCCGGTTTGGGAACCTTCACAGTGTGTACACATCCAGGGATCATAACCACGACTGTTCGGTCACAAAATGAGCTAGCGCCCGGTTCACCAAGTCGATAAAAAAGAACAGTTACTCACATATAATACTGGCTGGTGGCTAATCTATGTATCGTGAATTGTTGGAAGTTGGAATTACAAACTAGCCACTTGATCAGCTCCCAGTGGCTGAGTGATCTACGAGCTCACCTCGTAAATAAATGCCACTGGGTTTGAACCCCAGAGGGTGTGTATTGCTGAATACTCATAAACTAGGATGAAACGGCTGTCCTGTACTCCCTACTTATTTTCAATGCTTCCTTAATGGATTTCAACTTGTGGGCAAACCTGTGACCAGTCAAATACCTGCAAACAACCATGTGAGACCTTTATTTTATTGTAGTTTATATTCAAAGAAAGAGCATCATACATACCTAACGAACTTGGATGTATAGATCAGTGATTTTATTCATGAATAACAACGTTCAAGAGCTGTCTCTCAAGAGAGATTTAAAGTGCAGCTTATTCTAATAATTGCTAGTTAGATTATTACATGGATAGTATATGGCTGTTAAACTGTTTTAGTGATCAAAAGAATTCGGACCAGTAGCCTTCAGATTTCGAGCCCAATTCTCTACACTGAGAATCCCAATAAAAAGTTATTTCCACTTGACGTTTTGGTCACCGCTAACCACATCAATGAAAATTTAGCCTAACCTACAATTATTCCTGACAATCTTTTAATTAGCTAACTATCTGCCTAACAGCTAATTCAGTAAAATGGAATGGATAGCAAAATTGTTGGCGTTTTTATCTACAAAAAACATCTATACAAATCGCGTCCATATACATTAGTTTACATCAATACAATGGATTGTTATTTAATGCCACATCATAACGAAAGAAATTGTAGGTGATTACAATTTTCAACTTGGCATGAAAGTTCGAAGGTGTGAATACAGATTACAAAGGGTTTACAGAGAGAAAATAGTTACATAATAGAAAGATTGAGCGATGAAATATTTACTTTTCAATTAGATCCTCATCTTTGGGTCTACTCTAATATACATATAGCATTTTAATTACAATACAACAGTTTGTCAATCAAGTGGCGATAAGTTTGTTAACAATATTTAAACAGTGTCAATGGGTTAATAGTTAACGAAGAAAATCAATACAGATTTAAAAGGTGGAAATGGATAGAATAAATTAATTTTACAAGAATAACACGTAAATTAAAGATAAAGTGGTCAAAATAAATAATATAGACAAATATAATTTTATAGGTTTAGGGGGGGGGCAACGCACTCCTATTTATCCATTCTTGTGACGATGGCCACGGTAGGGAAAGTGGCTGTACAAATTGTTTCTGTACACATAGGCTTGGCTTCTTCAGATGAATGCCAGTCGCCCCAGCCGTCTGTAGAAGACGAACTCGCAAAGCAAAATTAAGATAAGTTGGAATGCGATAAATAATTTTAAATGCAGTATTAACATCAATCTTATGCTCAGTATCAACGAGGTGGGCTAAAATAGAGCTACGAATAGATCTTTTTTGTCCATTACTTAACCACGTTGGATGATGTTCGGAAATACGACGATGAACTTGCCTAATTGTACGCCCAATATAGCTGGCTACCCAGCTGCAGTCAAACTGGTAGATACACATACAGGAGGCGAAATTAGGTAGTTTATCCTTATTTCTCGAACATAAAATTGGTGTGGTTGTAAAGAGACAACGTACCTCTGCTAGATAATAAGTTCTTTTAACTGCATTCTTCAGGCGCTGTGTTATTATTTCGCTGATGTTGTCACCAAGGAACTGCAATTTTATGAACATTGGTTTTTTCGGGACTGTGGCCATACTGACTCTCCTTGGAGCTGAATTTATATTTTTCTCAATGAATTTATCTGGATAGCCATTTTTTCTAAGTAATTCTCTAATAATTTTAAGCTCCTCATTGAAGCAGTTGTCTGAACAGATTAACCTAGCTCTATGAACCAGACACTTCACGAGGTTACGTTTATATTTCAAAGGTACAAAGCTCAGAAAATGAGTGTACTGACCTGTTGTTGTAGGCTTCCTATACACACTCCTTCTTAGTGTGCCATCTTCTCTCCTTACCATGAAGACGTCTAGGAATGAGATACTGTCATTACTTTCTTTCTCTATGGTAAAGTTTATTGCTGAATGTGCATCATTAAACTTGTCAAGGATGTTCATTGCATCATTCTCATCTTTCATAACCACAAATGTATCATCCATATATCGACAGTAGAAATCCATGTCATTAATTACTCCTTTCAATGGTCCATTCTCTAACTAAGAGAGGAAAGAATCAGCTCTGATTGGACCTAATGGGGAACGGATGTTAACTAAGTGAGCACTGAGAGGAACAGAAATAATAGTTTTTTTATAATTGAAGATGAAAAATAATCAATGGGATGGAAAAAAACAAAAATCGACAAACGAAAAAGTAAGAATCAGAACCGAACAAGATCTATGGAAAGTGGAGACGTTGGACTAGTTTCTTTCGAATACATACCTCCAGCTTTTTGATGTTTATGACGAGGGCTTTTTCAGTACCAAGAAGTCGGAAGCACATAACCTCTGAAAGATTTTCTGCTTCAATGATACTAGATGGTTGGAGGCAATCAGTGGACAGGAAGCCTTGGACCTAGGTCTCGTGCTAGTCGGCATTCACCAGTCAGCAAGGCGAATATGCAACCTCCTTGAAGGAACTCATGTCTCCGTTCTGAGATTCGAACTCGCGTTACACAGTGCTGCACTTATAGACGTTAACACTAATTTTGCTTCCTTTGTAAGTGACTCTGAATGATGAGTTATTTGTGGTGTTGTGACAGGTGTGCTGGCGAAAGTTTTGATTATAGCGCCTCTGACTGAACCACTGCCTCAACTTTGCAACCATGGTATGCTGGGTAATGTTCTCTAATACATTTTGAAATGACCCGTATAGAACGACCTAAGTTACTAGCTCCACAGGAATAGGTGAACTGATATATTCATACTAGAGTTATCATACGTGGAGAGTTTTTCCTTCACGTTGCTTAAAAGCAGTAAGCAACTAGAGAATTTCACCCTTAGTGTTGCTGCGGGAAAGGTCTTCTTCAAGAAGCTACAGTTTCTCCTCTTTAGGATATCTACTGCTTAGTCTAGTCTGAATTCTAGATATATATAGAAGATTTTTCTTCGGCAGTGAACTGCAGTCCTCACTTTTTGGCTTTGGTTATATATTCTGCTACATGAAACTTGCCAAATATCTCCCCGCACAGAAACTAGGGGATTTCATTTCCACATTACAATCACCACTGATGCATTTATTCACCTTGATGAATTTGAATAAAGAGAGAACAACAGTGTGGTTTGTGCAGAATAATATGGTACCATCATTGCTTATTTCGTTGACTTCTCATCAGCTCAGCTGCTTGCTCACAGCTTAAATAAATTATGAGGTTTAAGTACAGAAACTTTTTAACATACTTGCAATCATTTTTCATGGTGTCAGTTGACAAAAGGTTCCACAATTAGTCAACAGTGCTCAGAAAATTGCACTTGTATAGTTTTTATGAAGGTAGTTTAAGTTTAAACAACATAAATGCATGAATACAATGGTAACATGTGCCGAAAAGCCTACGTCTCAAGGGAACAAACTCTTATAGTAGCGCTATTACCAGACATCTCCTGGACACGGGTCATGAGGTGGAAATCGATAAATCATTCAAAATTATCAATAGACAAAAAGAGCTTCATTCTCCTCAAGTTTGCCAAAGCAATTTCTATCAAACGCTTGAAACCAGATCTACGTGTTCAGAAAGAAGCAGTTATTAGTCTTTCCTTGCCCACCTGGTAACTGGATATCTTTGTTCTCTCATCTGATTAAGTAATCTTTGTCTTTAACCTCACCCTCCTTTTATAATCTGTAATTTTGCTTGTATCTTGTTTCTATGACTTGAGTTCAACTCAGTACATTGTTACCTAACTTATTAGTCACTCTATATCTAACGCACATCTCATCTTTATTACGCAACTCATTTGCCATTCTATGCATACATTTATTTTGTTTAAACTCGAACTGCTTGTGTAGAAACTATATAAGCGCAATTTTCTGAGCACTGTTCACTAACTAATTGTGGAACCTTTTGTCAACTGACAACATGTAAAATTTGCAAGTATGTTATGAAGTTTCTGTACTTAAACCTCATAATTTATTTAGGCTGTGAGCAAGCAGCTGAGCTGATGAGAAGTCAACAAAATAAGCAATGATTGTACCATATTATTCTGTACAAACCACACTGTTGTTCTCTCTTTATTCAAAATCACCACTGACTATATTTTCTGATAATCACCGATTGTTCACTTTGCTCCCATTATCCAGCAACACTCTGAATCTGGAAATGTCATTGTTGAAACACCCGAGGATAAATGCCACCTGTCAACATTAAATCCCAATGATTTATATCTCAAAAATGGACCATTACAATTAAGTCAACTCAAATCTTTATCTTTCGAAGGTGTATTATATACGGAATTAGTGGATAATAATAATAATAATAACAATAAAACTACTACTAATAATAATGATAATAGTAATAAAGAGTTTAAATCATTCGATAAATCTTATCCCAAATGTACACTTACTCCGCATTACAATATAAATAGAAACAGTCCAAACACCTTATTACAACAAGCAAATCAATGTCATACAGTGAATTCATTGCACAGACAACATTCAATAAACTGTCACGTCTCACCGACAACTTGCTCAAATACTGCATATGTTGTTTGGACAAGTAATACTAATCCACCAGAGATATTACAACAACAAACTAGTCAAGACATTAGTATGCAACCGTTAGGCAAAGTATTGATACATACAGACAGCCAGGGACAACAACTCCAACACGCTGAATGCTCAAATGATCCATTGCCACCAGCTTCAACAATGACGAGGAATTTTCAACAGTCAGTTAGTTCATCATTACAGCCTTTATCTTCAAATAATATTCTACTGAATAGTGTATCTTTAATAAATCAAAATAATTTCGGAACACTTTTATCATCAACAACAAATGATAGTGTCACATCAACGCTGTTATCATCTGGATCGAAATTATGCAGCCCAGTGATTGCTCAAACGACAGATGTAGTTAGTAAGGTAGGTTGGCTTTTTTTTTATTCAGTCATATTTATCGATTTGGCAAGTTACACATATGCATGAATAAATTCTAATATTACAAGAGAAAATTATACTTGATAAGTTAGTATGGATGAGACAGGATAAGGTGGCGTTTTTTCTTCATTTCTTCGAGTTTTGAGTGGAGTGCAAGGATTCAAGCTTCGAATTCCAAGTGGCATTAGGCTGTTAGACTCAAGTCTGACTTCTCGTCTTCTTCGACCTTACTGTTGTTATAAAGCTACTAATACACATTAAGTTTAACAGAGACGCTACTGATCACGAATACCGCTTGGCTACGCGAATATTATACGCCAGCTAACTGTTCTCCAGCGTGACCTATCTAAACGAGAACACACAAAGACGTGGGCCTCCACCATGAGATTTCAACTGAACACTCTTTTTGTGAGTCGGTGGCACAGTGGTTAGGACTCTTGCCGACCATGCACATGGCGTGGATTTCGATCCCCTGCCGACGCACAGATGATATCTATGGTCGGCCTGCAAAATTTGGGCTACCGATATCACATGCTGAAAATTCCATACTTGTACCGAAAATACAGTGTGGAATCAAGCTCTAATCAAAAAAAAGCATATTTCAGCATCATCCACACTGTCTGGTTGGCTGGTTTCAGCATAGAACATAGAGAAATGAGTTTGTTGTGATAATACGACCACTGTTGACGAGGTATCTTATTATCACACTTCTTATACAGACGTTACTACCTTCCTACAACCATGCCGAATAGTTAACTTCAACCCTTTTACACAAAATACTCTCCACAGGAATAGATGAATTGATGTATACGCACGGAAGTGGTCAGATATGAAATCTTGTCTTTCAGGCTTCTGAAGACCAGTAGAAAACTAGAGAACGTTACTCTTTGCTTTGCTGAGGGGAATGTTCTTCTTAGAGATGATAATGTTTCTCTGCTTATGTATCCATTTTGGTTTGATACTCTTATCAGTGATTCTCGGTGGTTGTCCATTTTAGATGTTCATTTCTCTCAGACAGTCTAGTTTGTCTGCAAGCGCCTCAGGGTATTCGACTAAGTTTCTTCTTCATTCAGTAGGCTACCAACTGTAGAAACAAGTTGTATTTGCTCTTGAAAATCTTTTCAAAATGATAACTAACTGGTTTCAACATAGATTTCTGCATCGATGTGCAGTAGTTGCAGTCCCCAGACTCCATGTACCACACAAAGGAAGGGAAGAAAGCGAAAACGAATGCAAAATAATGACAGTTAACAGAGATATTAGGCAAAAAGAATAGTTATATCGAAGAACAATATAGTTTTATTGTATATTATAAGTCACAATGAATGGATGCATCTACGCCAGTCATTGAGAACGATTTGTAGCCATACCACAAATTAGTTTTAATCGTCCCCAAGGCAACAAACAGTCAGGACACCTACACCTCCCTACGTGACTAGCTTAAACTAAGTGTTGTGAATTTCATTGACTGATGAAGCTATGTTTTTGTTTGACCACCGCTGGCTCTTTCCCAAACTGATATATCCTATGTCAGCTAACATTGCCCGTCGAAGAAGGCGATGACTAGGCATACGTAACACATGTTTTCAACCATCTCATTCGATGTAACTGCACAGCCTCCTTGATTGATTTCCCCTCCAACTCGCCTAGCACTCGACTGATGACTAACCTCAATATTGCTCATCCTATTATACCAGTTCACACGGGAGATAGGACACACGCATCTGTGATCAAAGGCAGCCAGCCTTTTCATGTCCTTTACTCTTAATGGCCAGGACTTAATGCCATAAAGGATTATGGAGTGGACAGTAATAATTTATAATTCAAAAAATCACCAAAATAACATCAGTTGGTCTTTATTAACGATCAATAGAGTGGTGGGCGTAATTTTATGTAGGGTCAATTCTCATTGGCTTATTTTCAGACTGACCTTGATCACCATATCACCAATAACGGATAATCCGCTGTTTACTGGTCTACATATCAACTATGCCTTAGTAAACTAAGTAAGGCTTAGGAGTGCTTCAGTCAGGAATTGAAGCCGAACTAGGTGCAAGGTCGGTGAGCATTCTACACTAAACCATCGACTCAAGGATGACGAATCTATGTAAATCTGACTCGGGATTATTAACTAAGATCTTGCATGAAACTGAATCCGAATGCCTTCACTAACTGTAGAAATGCCATCAGTATCTGGAACAAAAGTAACAACACTTAGTTGTTCATTTAATTAAATTAATTAATTAATTAACAAAACACGAAGGTCCTGATTTAGAGATTTAATTGAAACTAAAACAACTCAGCCTTGAAATTAAATCACATTTTAAAAAATCCGCCAGTGGTTTTGCTTTAATTTAAACAACAATGGTTATAAGTAAATTTGTCACTAAAAAATGTCTCACATTGCTTGTTTGATTGAAATGCGTGAAATTTAAACGTTCTGTGATTTCTGTGCATTAAGTGTAACGATAATGTCTGAGTACAATTAATCACTTGTCAAATTTTTTTTGATAACAGATAACTTGAACAGTCTAGTCTTATAAGGCTCAAATAAGGAGGCAAAGGTGTACAACAACTTTTGGAGTTTAAACAAATCACTGAAAACAGGACTACTGAAACGTCTGGAGTTTGCATTGCTGCAAGAATTTCCCTCTTAAATTCATGAAAAACCACTTATATGAGATAGGATACTCATGTTGCCGGCAATTTACAAAATTTATCATTTTTTTATTCCTTTAAGTTCCCAGTGGAACAATGGCTGTTAATACTTTTAATGCTTAACTAAGTCCCTGCATCAAATTTCTCTAGCATTGGTGTTAATTTTAAAGGGATGAGATCGCTAGCCACCGCATGTCCAACCTTCACACTTTATCAGTCTTATTACTGGCTTACCGAGGTAAAAGAGTGCGTCAGTGGCCGGGGATCGAACGCCGAACCACATGGGGCGTGGTTGGTGAGCATTCTACCACTGTGCCAACAACGCACACAAATATACCGTTTCGAGGCTTGCAAAATTACCCAGCTATGGAAGCTAAGGTAGATGGACTGGGACTAGAACCTAGAATTAACTGGTCTGAAAACAAGCGTGCCAATGAGCAACATCTCAACAAGAGTCTCAACCCTATATATATATTTTTTTCCTTCACGTTCCCCAGTGGAACATAGGGCACCTTCAAGCTAGTGGCTTGAAGTTTCTGTAGCAGTGGTGTTTATTTTACAGGATGGGGTTGCTAGCCTCATGCCCAACCTTTCCTCTTTACTAGCATTATTTCTGGCTTAGCGAGGTAAAGGAGTGCGTCTGTGGCCGAGGATCGAACTCCGGACCATGTGCATGGTTGGCGAGCGTCCTAACCGCTATAACACCGACGCATGTATATATATTTATTCATTTATTTATTTCTGGACATTCCGACTGAACCATGGGTCCTCAAGCTTGGGTCTTGTGGTTTCAATGCTGAAGGTGTTTTCTTTGAAGTGAGGCTGCTGGCTTCATACTCAACCTCCTCATATTATCAGAGCTACCACTGGTTAAGTGACGTTTCAGAAGGCGTCAGCTTGTAGTTAAAACCAAACCACATGTATTGTGTCACCGTCTGTCATCATTATTTATTATTATTGTTCACTTCGTTTCCGAGTGAAAAATAGGGCTTCAACAACATATCTCCACCATGTTCTTTTTTCTGCTGTCCTCTTCAAATGGACTCAGGCTTGTCTATAATCTTTCATCTTATCTGCATACGATCTCCTCCATGTCACTTTCCGATGACCCGCTCGTTGTTTACCATTTGGGTTCTGCTTGAGCGACTACCTGGTGCACGATATCATTCTATGGTCTCCTGAGTGTGTGCTTAATTCATCTCTATTTTCCCCCTACCTATTTGTTGTACAAAAAAGGTTTCTGATTAGTTCGTTGCCAGACTTTCTCGTTGCTTATCTTTTCTGGCCATTTCATCTTCAATATGCAGCCAGTGAAGGCTGTTGATAAACGTTTGCAGCATGCGGGGTGTGAAATGTTTTCTTGTGACATGTTAAGCTTTTGACTTATATGCATGAACTGACTTAACATTTGAGTTTAAAATTCAAATTTCGTTCTTTATGCTGAGTACAGAACATTTTCAAACTGATCTCAGATCAATGAAGGTGTACTTTTACCTTCTACAAATCTGGTTTTGACATCCTTACCGCTCCTGACTGAAAATAAAGTGAAGAAAAAGACCTGTTTCAAACTTATTTTGTTGATAGTGATTGGTATTATTGGCTGTTTATTTTATGATCTCTCTGTTGTCTTGATGTTCACTTGAAGTTATTGTTTATCGTCAATAAGAAATACATCCTACATAGGGCTACATGAGTGGAATAGGTACACGTGAATGATTTATTGACACACATTAAGGCGATTTTACTGAGTGAAAATTATGAATCTAACCGTATACACATCTAATGTTATCATGCTATTTTGTAAAGGAAGTAAATAAAAATACGTTTTAATGAAAATGTGATGTAATTAAGCGATGATAAGAAAGGGTTAGAGTGCAAATATTAGTAAGAGGTGTTGGTAAGGTGTTTATAGAACAAGGAAGGGATAATGACTGTGTATGAACTTCTTTTGAATGCATAGTTGAGGCTTAATAGTTCGAATACCCATCGACTCAGCTGTGTACAGTGGAAGAATACGAAGTCTATTGGAAAGATTCGATGGAATTCGATGAATTACCTCTAAAGCTTTTTCGTCTTCTATACGACATGACAACTATCAAATAAATGCGACAAAATTGAGCTATGGATTGTTTTTGTCTATCCTTTGCCAAACCACTATGGGAGGTGTTTAGTAATGACATGTTGGCTTAGCTGTCCAGTAGTAAGTCTAACATAACTGTCACCACAGGTGCAGTTGAAATGATAAATGCACATGGATTAGTCAGCGTGTTAAGTGAATATTCGCTCATAGCCTACTCGGTCGTAGTTCCGGTCTCAAAAATAAACAT